GACCTCATTAAAAAAAAATCCCGGTGGAATATATATGCTCTGATAATTCAGGTAGTTGAAGTTCAGATTTAAAAAAAAATCAGTTCGTGTCAATATTGAAACCTGGCTGGGATCGAACACGGACAAGACTCACAGTCGGACATGATTATTGCTAGCCAGTTACTTTTTTAAGTGGAACGACACATGTCACACAGGTTTCTAGCATGAGAACGTGAATGACGTAGTTAGCACACCGTAAATTTCATTAATTCATTCATGAAGCAGAATCAACCGAACAAAATGTGTTATTTCCAGCACAAACTAGTTCATACCGCTTTAACAAACATTCAACTTGTCAACGTAAGTGTGACATTTGTGTTTATCTCACCGTGGTTGATGATAATGGCTTCTCTACACGTGTAATTGCCAGAAAGTAGAAGGAAGTGTCACAGGTATTGAAACAATGTTCAAGTTTCACGATCAATATTGTACGGAAGTACCCTGAAGGCAAATGATGGGGCAGTGCATTAAATTAGGTCTCGACCGCTTAATTCGACATCCTTCCCACTTAATTATTTATTAAACAGCCCATCACAAGACGCTATATAATCTGAATTACTGACTGTGTCATTAAACCAATTACTAGAAGCAAAAAGTAAATAAAATTAAAGGGAATTTTATTATATGTTTAGAAAATTATTACATGCTAGTTCGTCATATATTGTTTATTCTGTAAAAAAAATGTTAATTTTTATGCGAATTTTTATAAGTGTAACAAAAACTGCCGATCAGATTAAATAGATACATTGAAAATCAATATGAGAGCTGTTAGATGTATCATTACTTCCGGTGGATAATTAAGAGGAGCAGTGAATTCAAGGAATAAAGGAAGCTAAATATTTCTACTTTCGATTACCTCCGGTCAATATTCATGCAAATGACAATATCTATTTTTAACGCTGTGGGAGAACGTGAGGTGTGATCGTACGGTGGACGATAATTGAACTAAACAACACATGACGTCAGCTCTGCATTTGTTTCGTGCATGCGGTATGAGATGATAACACTGGACATTACGTCAGATATCAGTTGTGCATGAGGACAACTTTTCCCCCACCATGGATTTGTACGCGTATATCTGAGATAGTTTTCGATATTTAGTTTCGATTGTTTTGGCGTAAAGAAAATTTCCCTCCGTAAACCTAGCAATTTATTTTTGTCTTATTCTTATGTTGGCATTGTTCTGTTCCAACTTCCGTTGCTAGCCTCACACCGAACGCACAGCTGCTAAACTGAAAAGGCGGCAAACTTCCGTTTTGTGTACTTTCGTTGGAGTGGCACGAAGAGGTAATTAAAAGCAGTGTTCAGTGCCTTGTAAATGCGTTTTGTTATGGTAGTTAATGTGGTTTAACATTAATTTGTTTCCTAAGGTAAAAGCGACTATATATTCGTGTTTATAACATTTGTAATAGTAGCTTCCCAATGTACTTTCAAGATATGCAGGTAGTACTGGATTCTGACTTGCATGGTTTGTTAAATGATACAATGATAATATGTATTATGATTCTATCATAAGTAAATAATATTTTACGTTACTTTCTGAAGACCATTTAGCATAGAAAGAAAGATTGTAAAAGTATTGTGTTGAATGCGACTATGTAAAGTTTGAATACGATAAGTTTGGTTAGGTTCATTCTTATGGTTTATTTCGTGCGGATAAAAAAGACATCGTAAAGTCATTGTGTCTCGAAGAGAATGACGGGTAGATTGAAAATGATACATAATGTTTGTAAAGAACTGTGATTTTAAAATTTAATTTTGCTATTAGCAGAGATATTCTTTACTTTGTGAGTGATGTGTACGAGAGACTTAACTGTCAAGAACGGAACAGAGGTTACAGACAGAAGTTCAGTTGCCCTTAACATCAATGGATTCTCACCGCTACTTGTGTTGACGCTGTGGGCGTCGGTGAGCAAAATCACGTATTATTTTCTTTATAGCAAGCTGTTTAAAAGATGCCCAAGGCAATCAGTAATTTATTGAGTTTCATTCTCTGTGTAGATGACGGGCTTTTGTGAACAATGTAATGAACATTGCCAGTTGTTAATATAATGCAAAAGAAATGCATATTAGAGAGTAAATAGGAAACAATCAAGGTGGCTCTTAAATAGGATGTGAGATTGTGGACTGATTTAATTTGGCTCAAGGTACGGCGTAGTGACTGTATCTTGTGAATACATTAATGAGCCTTCATAGCTGCAGATGGAGGCAGTATTTTCCTCTGTTGGTATTTATCCAGAAATCTACATTGCGTTACAACCCAGAAGACCAACATGGACATTTCATCGCCGTGAGATGCTTAAGTATCGTCTACATGTTATTTGCTTGTGGTTGCTTATCGAGTTTTGTTTTGAAATAAAAGGGTCTTACCTTAACTTCGCTTACGTCTCCATATAATTCTCCAAGGGACGGCCTTTTCATTGCCTGTATGCAATTGCGGTAATGATCCAGGCGGGGCAGAGCCTCCCGGGTGAGTTGAGCTAGAGAATTGCGATGAATCTTTGGATCATTGCTGGCAACGGGATACGTGGCGTGACCCTGCACAGGTTCCGAGATCTCGTTATTGCGAGCATTCTGTACATTGGTGTCGCCGGAAATATCACTTTCTTCCGGAACCCTCTTCACGTCGAATCGATGTTTTATATCCATCCCGCTTCGTGAAGAGCTCTTGAACGACCAGGGCAGATAATGGTAACGTAATTTGTTCTTACTGAAGTGATGTAATCACAAATAGTGAAAACTCGAAACTGCTTTTGTTTTAAAGCAAACTGAGTTTTACTTGATCGTGTGTTAAAGTCTTAAAATATCGACGTTACATTTTACGTGAGACACGATTTGAACTAGGAATACCACGTAATGTTAGTAGCAAGTATAAATGTAAAATATGTGATTAAGATAAATATCCTCAGACAGTGATGTGAGAATTTTTGCAAATTTTATTGCGAGAACTTCATTTTCGGATCGTGAAAGCAATAATATTTAATTATCCTATTTTGCAAAATATATAAAAGCAACTTATTTTGTTATTAACTGTGAGAGAGTTAATAATACATTTCGAAATTGACTTTCGGGACACTTTTCAAAGAAATTATTCCCGATGAAAACGATAGTCTTCGATTCACATTCTGTTTCAATCAGTGGCGTGCGGTTGATGGAGCTGACCGTGAAAGGGCACGAACCACGTGGTCTTGTGTGGAAGTTGATTTGCAGTCGGTCTAGGGAATTGAAACCTATCGAAACAAGGAAAAACCACAAAACCACTGAGTCACAACTGAACTATAACGATACTTGGAAAACATTCCTACAAAATGACGCAGTAATTTATGTGATATGGACTGGATTTTAAACAGATATTCCTTTTCCAACAGCCCGAGAATTTGGCTACATTCGGAAGTCTAAAAAACAAAACCACGTCTCATAATCATATAATTACAAGGCCAAGGATTATGCTTTATTATTTTTTCGCGTTAATAATAAAGAGCTGGCTTGTATTGCCTCTTGTCTTTAAGCGGAGACAGAGGCACGAACCATAACGGAAGGTAATAACACGTACCTTTACATAATCAGCCTTCTACATGTATACGTACACCGGATTATTTCTGACATGAAACACGTTTTGCAGTGTTCAAAGTATTGCGACAAATGAAAACATGTTCTGAACGATAATGGTTTTGAATGACTTGGAGCAACTGAAATAAATTCTGTACTCCTTCACAACAAGTACGTAATTAATAAAATTCTGTGCTCTTTAATGACGTTATTTAAGCTGCAAAGATTGTATGGTGTCGCGTAAGAAGTTAATCATGAAAGTTTAGTAGGTATGTGCTAGAAGACGCTTGTGGAATATTTGTGCGTGTTGTCCCGACAGAAATCCGGGAACAGTGAGGAATTTCATGCAAATTCTGAGTCAGGTGTGACAGAGCTGAGATTCGTATGTGACATTTTCAGGTCAGAAATAAAATATTTTAAGCCTGCAAAACCATGTCGTCTAACCTGTGTGACGACTGATAACAACCCGTCAGCTATCGCTAACGAAAGCTATTGCATGGTTTAATGACGCACAATGTAATGGTGAAGATTCAGATTACTGATCCGTATAGTGTTCGGTAATTCGATATTTTCCATTACGTTCTAAATTTTAACGTTTACACAATGCTTTCAACTTTTAGAGACGGGTGGTAACTACGTGTACCATTTATTTTCACAATCAGCGATGTTTAATTTTGTGTTTATGAGTTTTGTATAATTCTCAGAGTAAAGAGCGAGTAGTCTTTAAATAACTTTAAATAATTGAATTTTGTAATGGTGCAGTATGGTGTTTTCTTTGCGGTACGGACTGAATTCTTAAATATTATTTAGACGAGCCTCTGCTACGAAGGGTTAAAAACGCTGAGATTAAACGCTCGCCGTGTATCTGCGATCTCGTTGTGCAGAATGGTCTTACGTCTTTTGCGAACTGAAATAGTTATTTTATTGTACACAATATGAACAACGAAATTCTTGTTAATAGCCTCCATTTTATGTAGAAGAACGTTAAACGTATGTCTTAGCACCTACAAGTTATTTAAATAAAATAGTGTTTCGTCCTAAGTCTGCGGAATATTTCAATGATTCTTTGAACCTTGTTGCATTTACGCATGTACAAACTTCTTATTCTTCATCTAGAAATAATGTTATCACAGATAATAACATTAACTGAATGTTTTAAGTCAACAAAATATAACGCCTCTGTGATAAGTTTAAATCTTCATACGCTGACAGTGAGCAGACGGCCTAGGCATACACTGGAATCGGAAATATATAAATTTATCTTAAGTCGTGTTATTATAAATTGCTCAACCCTGGAGTGACAGGGACGACACTGAAGGGTCGTATTTTACGACGAAGAGAGAATATACGTCGAGGGTGTTCGAGGACAGGGCGCGTATGTGGAGAATATTGCGTTATGAGGCGCTCTCCATAATTTTCACTCTTAAACGGGTGTTGTTAGGATAATCGGATCAGGGAGAATGTGATGGGCAGGGATATGAGAAATGATTCCAAATATTTTGTTTGAAAGCTTGAAAGGAACAGATCACTCGGAAGATCTGGGCGTAGGTGGGAGGATAATATTAAAATCTGTATTAATTAAATAAAATATTATGGCGTGGATTAATCTAGCTCAGGAAATGGACCGGTGGCGGGTTCTTGTAAACAAGGCGATGAATCTTCCGGTTACATAAAATGAGGGGAATTTCTTGATTAGCTGAGTGCGCTATTAGCGTCTAGAAAAGGATTGTATTCAGTTGAATTAAGTTAATACCTTTTAATAAAGGACTTTTCATTTTAGTTTCATGGAGGTTCAGGTTCGTGTTATCAAAAAGGTGATTGCTTTCATGTTCTATGTATAAGGTATTTAATAAGAATCTATCTTGTTCCGAGACACCAAATGTTACAAGCACAGGGATTACAGTAAATTGTAAAAATTCATTCCGTCTATATGTAACTTTCTATGAAAGTCTAAAATTCAAATCATTTTTAAGTTCCAACTTACCGGATTACGAAAGCCCTAGTAGCAGCTATAACTGTGTAAAGTCCAACTTTGTACCTCCTCGCCTGTCTTATATGCGTGCGCCAATGATATTCTCGCCTCGTAGACAGCTTATCACCATCGTACCTGTCATAAGGTAGTTCCCGCGAGTGGGTGATGTGTCGGACTGCGGCTTACAGTATGGAAACTTGGTCTAAAAGTCACCTCGAGCAAGTTGCCGATTGGACAACACATCTTTTTTCCCTCCAGTCTTTTTTTTTTTGAAAGGGTAGGCAGAGGAGAGGAGGGGACGGCTATAATTTACATGCTTATGGATGGATTAGTAATTATGCATTAATTTGCGAGACATTTACGTCAAACTTATTGGAACTAGTGAAGCTGTGAATTGAACAGTAAGTTGTTACTAATAAGTCAGGTCACGTACATAGGAGAATATCTGTCTTTCATGTCTCGTTTATTCCTACTGGTTCAACCGCGTAAATAATCTCGTGTCGCTCTGTCTCCACTTACGCGGTGGAGAATGTATTCTGTATTGATGAGTACGTATTCTGACTGTGAATTGTCGTGACTTCAATTAATTTATTAGGTTCATGAATCTTCATTACTGTATTAAACAGTGTTTACTGTTACTAATTTATTTATTTATTTAGTAGTTCTGTGTTTTTCACACAGATTGCGTTTATAGATTCAGTATGATGCTTAGAGTAAATAGCAAGTATTATTATTTGTGTTTTCTTGAAGGCAGGAACTGCTTTTTTAAAATAAGCCTTTTTACGCTCACATAAAGTAATAGGTAAAAAGATACATTTTTCTATATCTTGATGCATTTGGATATTCGGGGTTGATAAATAAATAATAGTAAACATTCCCCCCCCCCCGATCTAATCTTCCGTTAATTTCTACACAAACGCAATTTTGATTGTTACTGCCCTTCGAAAATATTTGAAAATTGACACGTATTCTAAGGCCTTGTTAATTTTATTTATATTAATTTTTTTCCTGCATTCTAGTGACATATATAAATATTTTGTTTTACCTGATTATCTCCCTCCCCCCCCTGTTTACTTCTAGGCGAGCCTTGTTACTATCCTGTGTTTTCTTTTTAATTTGTCAACAGTATATTTATTGGAAATCTAAATATTATTTTCAGTAATCATATAACATTCTAATCCGAGGGTCTTCATGTATTTACAATATGAGTTATGAAAATTACCATTTTGTTATCGTGTAAATTGCATTTCTTCATGAACGTTGTGTATTATATGACGCAATATTATGGCATGAAATATAGTATTTAACAACGCAATCATTGATTACGTATTACGGTTAAGAACGTGGTAATTAATAAAGTTGTTGTTATTCCTTGGTTCTACAACTCACTGTGGGTTTTGACCGCCTCCTATTCGTATGTTTCATAGTCTTTGAAGTGTGCATTTGTGATTAGTGATTGACCAGCCCACTGACTACATAATAAAGCGGAGATTTATAAATATGACCGATAGGTGTATATGAAAATTATTTTATTCGCAGTGTTGGAATCCAACAAAACCATGAGAGTTTTCGTGAAGATATCACCCTTAACTGTGTCGGGTTATCGCCGAAATTTTAGTCGAAATATTACAATTGGCTGGACCTCGTCTTATGATTTCTAATGGGAAATGTTCTTAGAATATGTGTGATATCCGCTATATTATAACGAATCTACTTACATATGGAACCAGCGTTATTATACAATTCTGAATTGATAGGATTTCTAAGAGGAAATTGTTCTTTCAGGCCTAAAATTCCATTCTCGAAATCCTATTATGTAACTAAGTGGGCATGGCCTTTAGTCCAAAAATGCATGAGATTACATGAAACGATATGTTATATGTAACGAAATTAAGTTAGACATGTCTGGTGATGGAAGGGCCAATGTTTTGTGTAACAGCAATAAATGTTTGTTTTATAAAATATAGATTTTCTTATAAAGTATGTGTACAAACAAAACTGTTTACACTTTGAAGGACACTAATGCCAAACGCGTTTCTACCTCAAGATTATAGATTTTCTTGCTAAATTATTCGACCACCTCTAATTCAAATTGTGAATATGTTGCTGATACACATGTATACATAATTCAAAATGTTATTTCTCTCGTTGTCCGTCTCTGAACACGAGTTTTATGCTTGAATTCTCATCTTCCCCGAAATTCAACTATGTTATCGGAAATGTTCTTAAAAGGGGTCATTAGAATTTATGGAGTTGGTCAAATCCAGATGAATCCACCTTTAATCTGAGTAACACAAAGTAAGAACTAGCTACAAAATATTCAAGGTTGCTCAGATGGTTAGCTTCCGTAATTCAGTGTTTTCCCCTGAGGGAACACTGTTCATATTTTATTGGTAGAGGCACCTTTACTCGTAGTATTAAAATTTCGATAAATGTTTTAAAAGTAAACTAAAAAAATACTTCTCAGTTTGTTCTCCAGCTTTCAGTAATAGTATTTTTTTTATTTGAAATTAATTCTTATCTATATTTTTAACTGTCTTCGATTTAATAATTAACATCTTAAATGCAAATCTAGTCACACAAAAAGTAACAGGAGTGTGGAAAAGACTGTGTAATGAAGAACTTCGTATTTTATATTTATCATGAAATTATATTAGAACGATCAAATTAAGCGGAATGAGATGAGTGTGACAAGTAGCACGCGAACGGAGCACTTGGGAGGCCTAGGGTGGAACGTATTAAATGAATCTTAAAGAAGTACCAGTGGCGGATTTAAAATATTTCGTCTTATTGATTTTTCATGTTGACTTATTTGTAATCTACTTCCGTGTGAGTGGTAAGGTAAACATCGTGTTTATGCAAGTGATATTCATTACGTTGGGACCTTCCTGTCACGCGTCCTTAGTTTGTTTTCGAGTCTTAAAATGTGGAACTGATCTTAAACAACTTAAATTTCTTAGAAAGAATTAAAGCAAATATTTGGCATACTAATTTGGGGGGATAGTATTTATGGAAACTTCATATTTTATAAAACCGAAGAAAGAATTAAAAGTAAAGATGATGATTATGATAATGATATAATAATAATAATAATAACATTCCTTCATAGGGCTAAATATTTAAAGTATTATTTGAGTCTTCTGTCCTTATTCTCAAAATATTTGTAATCGTAGAATTTTCATTTTTTGCGATGGTATAAGCGAATTACTGAACTTTATTGATTAGTGTGTTGATATCAAATTATAAATTACTTAATGTTGGTTATATTTCAGTGAGAGTTACTGACTACAAATTCATACTTTTTTTATAACTTGAAATGAGCAACATTATAATGAACTAACTCGTTTTAAGTGAACAGTCTTCAAACTCTTGTGCTGTTCAGTCCATAGGAAGATACAACAAATGGATAATAATTAAACGTATTACAGATATTAAAATTGGGGTTTTGACGTAACAATTACGGTTTTTAATGTTATCAGTATTAAAAGCTAGGCAAAAAGAAACGTGTACATTCCAGTGTGACGTAAAATAGAAAGGCTAACCTCACCATACATAGAATTACACAACCAAGGCAAGTTAGTAATGCTGTTTAATCTGCTCTCCAGAAGTATAACTGTATTATTTTGCTGTGATCAATCCTGATGAACTTCGCGCCTTTGACCTTTCGGGCACTAAACGTTACTACACAGTGCAAACAATAAAAACGTATCGCCTCTATCTTCAGGGTGGATGCAGACACTTGGTCTCTCCGAAACGTACAAGATTGCATGGCATTATAACCCAGATGGTTACTGGTGTTCAGTCCTAAATTAAATTTGCATGGTAAAGTCAGTTTTATTCAGTACAGCGTGCAGGAAGGTAACTAGGATACACGATAACAAATGCTGACAGTGGAATATGTACCTTATTTTTCGGCTAAAGAGACTACAGCTTATCACAGACTGCTTAAAGCTTAAGTCACCTGTGATAAGCTGCAAACTTTGCTATCACTTCAGCCTTCAGAACTCCAAATAGCCTATATAGCTATATTTGGTTGCAAAATAAAGATTTGGCTGAATGAACTACCTTTGCAATTGAAGACGATGAGCCACTAATAAACCTAAAAAGATTAACCCTAATACTTTTCTGCGTTCCTCGAATTTCATTGTGTGGAGTAGCAATTAATTTTCATAGTTTATTGTGCCCTACCTGGGGTCTCGGTTTCGATTCCCGGCGGTGCCCGAATTTATAACTTGTGTTGGGCAAGGCCGTGGTCTAGGCAACACGGAGTTTTCCTCCGGGGGATTCCCCGGTTTCTCCGTGGCATCC